CCTAAAGTTATGCAATAAAGAATACACAATAACTCTATAAAGTGAATAACTTTTAATCTTCCATGAATAGATAGAAGAGTTAACAGTAAGGTTGGCTGCTAGTTGACTATGACCTGCTCTGGAGAATAGACAGACATGGAGATAAGCTCAGTTCTGAGAGAAGAAAAATAATTTAAAATATGAAGAGAGAGAAAATATCCCCAGTTAAAAAAAAATTAAGGATAAGACATTACTTCTGAAGAGGAATATGCCAGGAAAATCTGTAGCATAGAGATACTAACAGTGGGGGAGATGAAGGCAAAACAGGGAAGGGCCTACAAGTGCAAAATGGATCCACTATAGATTTTCAGTGAGGCAATAGGCCTAAAAAATTTGTTTCGTAGAACTTTAAAGGAGGCGAAGCTTACAGTAATGACAACATCAAATAGATAGTACCCCAAATAGTTATGTCTGCAGCAAGAGTACAGTTTTAGATACGCTAAGCTATTACGGCTTTACAGTTAAAACAAAACTAAGCCAAGTCCTATTAATAAAGCCCATAGAGTACAATAGATTTGCAAAGCATATAAAGAATATTCAACTCTTTACCTTTAGGGATGTCAATTGATCTGCCCACATTTCTATTATAGGAACAAGATGCTCAAATCCACAATCTTGAACAAAATCTTTCTTAAAATTTTGGGCTCCTCCTTTGCTCCGTTTATAAATTATTACTGGAGCTCTTGGGTTGTGAATAATTGAATTAATGCTACACAACACCTTTAAAAAAAAAAACAACTTTTAGTCACAATGTTTATTCTAATCCTACAAACTGATATATGTTAAAGGGGTGCTTTATATGTCAATGTAACATCATTTTCAGAGTTAATAATTTTAGGTATTAAGACGATCTTTAACGAGACTGACACTTGTAGTCTTTTGTTAATACAGCAGTTTCACTAACATGGTTAAACATAAGCTCTAACAAGAACCAAAAACTGCAGAAAAACTAAAACGGATTTAAAAACTAATTAGACTTGGAAATAGTTATGACATATTATAACCCACATAGAAAATAAACACCCAGACATCCTTAACTATAGACTCCACATTGTCCTATTTCTGTCTCCTCATATTTAAGCGAAACAAGATGTTAAAAGGGGCTTTTCCTGTTGTTTCATAGCTTCCGTTGAAGTTCAAAGTGAGGACAATGAACAGTAAAGTCCCACACATTTTATTTTATTTTATTTTTTTATTTTTTTATTTTTTTTGTCTTTTTTCGTGACCGGCAACGGATCGCAACCCTCAGTGTCGCGCCCGTACCGGACCGGGACTGGCAACGGGATCGCAACCCTCGGTGTTGCCCCCGCTCCTCGCTCAGCCAGTGAGCGGCCGGTCTGTATGTGGGATCCAAACCCTCGGCGGGAGCGCCGCCGCGCTTCCCAAGCGGCGCACTGTAGCAGTGCGCCACCGGGCTGGCCCAGTCCCACACATTTTAAAGAGAAGTCCTGAACACATCATGCAGGTCTTGGTAAGAGGTGATCATAGTGATCATAGATAGTGACCAGCCTGTCCAAGAAAATGTTAGAGATTCAACAAGAAGAGTATCTTTTAAAGAAATGTATAGAACTAATGAATAGAAAATGCTCTGTCATTTTTCTTTTCTCCCCATAGAAAGCTACAATAACAGGTCTTCTGAGAATTTGACTTCTGATGTTTATTCATAAGCAGTTTTTGTTGTTTTAATTAAGGAGTGTATATTTCATTATCTCACTTCTATTATATTTAAACTCATCTGTAAATACTATTTTAATGGAAAAAATAATTAATTCCCTCCACTAAATTATTAATGAGCGGGAACACAGTCTTCCTTTTCCTCCTGTCTCATAACAAAGGTTAAGAAGGGCAACTTCCGAAAAGAAACTTCTGAAAGAGATCAGGGATCTAGTACTACCCAAGCTTCATAGGACAATCTCCATATGATAGGAGCAGTGAACTAAGTAAGATTACATCTATGTCTAGCAGTATGTGTCCATATTTTGTAGTAAATTATTTGCAAAGTGGTTGCAATTATTTATCTTCTTTACATACTTGTGCCTCTGCAGTATCACACTGCAGGTTCTCCCATCAAGAAGGGGCATCTATTTTCTACCCCTTGAATCTGGACTGATCCTGACCCCTTGCTTTGACCCACAGAATGCACTGGGAGGAATGTCATGCCAGTTCAGAGCCCTGATTTCAAGAAACCAAATGTACCAGAGGACTAGGAGAGAAGGTGGAGTAAAGAGAATAAACAGATCACACTCCCTTACCATACTGCTTGTCTGCAGAAGTACAGGTCAGGCATGAGACAGAGTAGGCAGAAGATAAAAGCTTTGAATTAGATAAGGGATTGAAATTTGAATGGACTTTCTCCCAACTTTTCATTATGAAAATTTTCAAACATACAGAAAAATTAAAAGAGTGTGTGTGTATAAATACTGTGTTAGGGTTCTCCAGAGAAACAAAACCAATAGGATGTGTATGTGTATACATAATTCCTCCTATATATATATATAATTCCTATATATATATATATAGTTCATATATCTATCTATATATACATATAGTTCATATATATATATATAGTTCATATATCTATCTATATATACATATAGTTCATATATATATATATAGTTCATATATATACATAAATGTGGCTAACTGAAGAGCACATGCCCATATTGACAGGAGAAAGGCATAATTCTGCTCTGGCTTTTTAAAAGCTAGAAATAAGGATTAAAAAATAAAATCTCTTAACTTTTTAAATATTGTAATTAAAATTTTAAAAACCCTATGTGGGCCCAATAAAATATGAGTGTGGACCCAGTGCAGTCAGTAAATTACCAGGCTTAAATGCTCATCTATTCAATAAATGGTCTATAAAACCAATAAGGTTAGATTCCCAACATCACACCACATAGAAAATTAGATTTCAAATGTACTAAATATCTAAGCAAAAACAAAACCTTACAAGGACCCTAAGAAAATAGATTTACTAATATATAATGATAGCAGCAACAACAAAAAATTAAAAATGGAAATGGGTTAAGGGGGAGGAGTAGGGGAAAGGATTAAAAAATCTTTTAAAAATCTTAACAGCTCTTTACCACCCTGCTTTGAACTAGGCCAGAGTCTCTTTTAAGAGGTAAGACAAATTCTTTTTTTTTTTTGGTCCTTTTTTTGTGACCTGTAAGGGGATCGCAACCCTTGGCTTGGTGTCGTTCGCACCGCGCTAGCCAGTGAGCACACCGGCCATCCCTATATAGGATCCGAACCCGTGGCAGAAGCGCCGCACTCTCCCAAGTGAGTCACGGGGTCGGCCCAAGGTAAGACAAATTCTAAGTTGAGCTACCTACAAATGAGCCAAAGAAGTACGTCATGGTAAGACAGACAGAATAGTACACATGAATACTGTATATAAGTATTCCTTACCAAGTGATTATTTATTATACTGCAAATGAAACCCAGGTTCATTACAAACATATCATTTTTGTCAGCTGTTCAATACCTGAAAGTATCTCTGGTCAATTAGGGCCTGTTGCTGGTTATATTTGCTGGGCTCATCTTTTTTCTCTGTGTCCTCAGCCTTTTTATGACTGATAAGGTCCTGTAATCTAAAGGGGTTAAAAAAAAAAAAAATCAAGATGATAAAAAATGCTTTCCTAGACATAGGATTAAGATGATAAACTAAGCCAATGATCCACCTGCCTTCTTATAAAAAAATAATCTAAGTGATTCATTTTCAGAAATGACCTGAGGATGTTTAACTGGCTCAGAGAGGCATTTAACTGACTCAAACAGATGTCTAACTGGCCCAGCCCAAAAGTTGTCTGACTGGTTCAGCCCATTCCCAGAATTCCCAGAGAGTCACTGAACAGACAGAGCTCTGCTTGAAATGCTAATTAGTTACTAGCCCCTTTTGTTTTCTTCATTTCCTGGTGTTTCTCCCTTTACCGGGCTTCAGTGGGCCTTTTTCTTTCCTGGGCTTGTCCTGAGCCCTCAGACAAAGAAATTCCTTACAAGGGGGTAATAAATCTTAGGCGTCATCCAGGAAGATTGTGCATCCCGTAGTACTCAGCTAATGAGAAATTTGGGGGAGAGACTTGCGTACTAGAGAACAAGTTGCTTGCTGTAGCCCGTTTTGGGGTGCCTGCTCAGACACCCGATCTTGCAAGACCATTATTAAAGTCTCACTTCACTGTACCTCGTGTCTCTGTGTCCATACTTTGGCATTGGATGGGTGAGGGTCTCAACAACCTTACATCATTTTACTCATATACGTATGCATGCACATGCTTATACATATATATACATATACACACACATACATATATACAGTTTTTAAAATTTAAGTCATATTGTCACTAGAAAACAAGAAGTTTCTCTCAAAAGATGACAAATTAGAAGGAACCCCTGAAAACAGAGGAGATCAAACTAAAGAATAAATTTCCGGTCTTTTGTTGTTGTTTTCAATCAAGTTTTTGATGAAAATATATAAAATAACAGTTTCTCATCACTGTACATTAAGACTACACGCTTCTGGAGTTGGTGAATAGCTTTTCTATGACACTAGAGGACTGTATACCTGCAGTTCTAACCTAAATTTACCCAAACTCTGGAGGGAAGTGAACTCAGTGTGATGAGTGACAGCAGTGGTGGCCAGTACAATCCCGTTGTCCCTCCCCCTTTGAAGAATAAAGTTCCAACCAACACCCAACACCCACAAAAAAAAAAAAACAGCATAGGAAAGAACTACAGCAAAGTGTAAAACAACATTCATTCCTAGGTGCTCCAAGCCTAAGGTTATAGGTAAAAGGAACAAGAAGCATAGGCAGGACAATTACTTTAGGTACTGTAGCTAGATGCTTTGGCCCCCCTCTTCATACTCTACTGGGCCAACAGTGATGCCTGGGTCAGTCAAGAGAGCATGGAGAGCCAAGAGACCACAGTCCCAGGTGGCTGCTAGAACTCTGGGGAAAGAAAAGTCTGTTTGCCCAGAAACCTAACTATGTATGAGTCTATCCACCTAGAAGCAAACCTTTGCTCTTCTCCAAATATTTCCAAAGACAGGCTATAGTAGGCATTCCTTCTCCTCCCTCCACACACCTTTGAAAATAGCAGCCTCATTTTTTTTTTAGTAGTCTCTTATTAAACCCGCTTCGAATTAATCTTCTTCAATTTGAGGACAGTAGTCTCCCTTTATCTGCAGTTTTGCTTTCCGCAGGTTCAGTTACCTGCAGTCAACCATGGTCCAAAAATATTAAATGGAAAGTTCCAAAAAGAAACAATTTGTAAGTTTTATAAATTGTACACCATCCTGCTCCATCCCACTCGGGACGTAAATTATCCCTTTGTCCAGCATATTCACACTGCACACGCTACCTGCCCATCAGTCACTTAGTAGTTGTCTCAGTTATCAGATCAACTATCGGGCTTCTGTTCAAATACCCTTCATTTTACTTAATAATAGCCTTAAAGCTCAAGAATAATGATGCTGACATATGGTTATAACTGTTACATTTTATTACTGGTTATTGCTAATCTCTTACTGTGCCTAATCTGTACATTAAACTTTATCATAGGTATGTACATATACAAAAAAACATAATATGTATGGGGTTCAGTATATGTGGTTTCAGACATCTACTGCACGCCTGTGGATAAGGGGGACTACTGTATGCCATCAGTTTCCTTCTGAGATCCCAACCCATTAAATTGATTCCATAGCTTATTAATGAGCTCTGACCTGCTGTTCATAAAATAGAATAGTAAAATTCTAAGTCATTTACCTGCCAAAAACCAATCAATGACTTCATGCTGCTTTGTGAACGAAATCAAATCTCCCTAGCCTAGCGTTCAAATTTCTCCATGCTGTTAGTCGTGACCCAATATACCTCCTGACTCCTTTCTAACATGATCTTACTACTCCCCTACAATTACCTACTCCAGTCACATGTATAGCTCTTGATCTTCACTCAACTGCTATTATCTGCTCTCTGGTGAATATATGCCCAAATCAAATTAATAAATAGAATTAGCTTTAGGTAAATGGCCAACCTCTTCCTCTACTGGACACAAAGGCCTCACAATCTATTTTTCACTTGACTTTCTATTTACCATATTCATATACTTCACAGTTCTGCCTAAAGAGTGCCCTGAGCATATTATCTAGAATACAAAAGGACACAGAAAAGCTAACACAGCCTCTAAAGGAAATAAACTGATATATCTGAACTTAAATGTTAACCTTTCATTTGGGTGAAAATGTTCAACTTATCAACGAACTGTTTGCAAATCAGATTAATAAATATTACCCTATGTATAACACAACATTTTAGTTGTCAGTGCAGTAACCTAAATATATAATTGTGTCTACTAATTACAGTCTGGGAAATAAAATGTGATTTTTTTTTTCTTTTTTGTCTTTTTTACTGACTGGTAACGGGATCGCAACCCTCGGTGTCGAACACAACATTTTAGTTGTCAGTGCAGTAACCTAAATATATAATTGTGTCTACTAATTACAGTCTGGGAAATAAAATGTGATTTTTTTTTCTTTTTTGTCTTTTTTACTGACTGGTAACGGGATCGCAACCCTCGGCGTCGCGCCCGTACCAGGGACCGGCAACGGGATCGCAACCCTCGGCGTCGCGCCCGTACCAGGGACCGGCAACGGGATCGCAACCCTCAGTGTTGCACCTGCACCGCGCTCAGCCAGTGAGCAGGAACCGGTCTCCACATGGGATCCGAACCCTCGGCGGGAGCGCCACTGCGCTCCCAAGTGGCGCACTCTCCAGTGCGCCACCGGGCCGGCCCTAAAATGTGATTTCATTAACTAGATCAATAAAGAAATACTTTCATTTTAATAACAACAAAAACTAAAATTTATTGGGAGCCTGATGATGATAACTAATATTAACTGAGAGCCTTCTCTATGCAGGAATTCTTCTAAGTAAAAGTACTTAGGGCCTGCCCGGTGGCGCACTGCTACAGTGCGCCGCTTGGGAGCGCGGTGGCGCTCCCGCCGAGGGTTCGGATCCCACATACAGACCAGTTCCCGCTCACTGGCTGAACGAGGAGCGGGCGCAGCACCGAGGGTTGCGATCCCGTTGCCGGTCCCGGTCCGGTACGGGCGTGACACTGAGGGTTGCGATCCGTTGCCAGACACGAAAAAAAAGAGACAAAAAAAGGAAAAATAAAAAAATAAAAAAATAAGTAAAAGTACTTAGTACATATATTAACTCATTTAATTCCATTTTTTTTCTAAGTTTATAGAAGATAAGGATTAGTGAAAGCTGGGGGGGCTCATGGGAAACTGACCTTTGGTTCACCTAGTCAGCCTTACAGTAAGTATCTGCCATAATATTAATACCCCTGAAAAACTTTACATCCTACAAAATCACACAAGTAAAAATAACAGGCTCAGGAGAAAAGTAGTGTTAGAAACCAGATTACTTAAAACTGATACAGCTTTAGAAGGAGAGAACTAACAAACAATAATTGATACCTCAGGATGTAAATTAGACAGCTCAAATAGATAGTTCAAGCATGTCTGCAGGTTGTCTCAGGGGATATTAAAAATGTACAGATAGGGCTGGTTGGTAACACCAAGGTCATGTGTTCAGATCCCTTACCAGCCAGCTAAAAAAAAAAAAAAAAAAAAAGGAGAAAAGAAAAATAAAAAGTTCGAACTACAAAGCAATGAAGACTGAAGTTGTGAAGTTGAGGAATTGAGCCCTTGGCCAAAGAAGTTGAGGTTAAAATGGGCAAGGGAAGAAGTGCAACTTGCCTCTAGCCTAGAGTCTGTCTAATGCTGGAGTCAGGGAGCCCAGGGTATAGTTGATCAAAACAGCTGAAAGGGCACTTGCCTTTGCATTAGCAAAACCTTTCCCTTTCCTGAAGTCTATAATACTGCTACTGCTATTCTAGCCCTTTGTGTCTAGAAAAACCTGGAGTGAAAGATGTGCCATCTCAAAGTATGCCAGAATGGTATACTGATTATTTTGAGCTGAAAGTGTTGGAGAAACTGCAGCAAACTGCAGAAAGGGCTAGCTGACCTGTCTTTTCCTGCCTGCGGCAAGTCATACAGATTCTCTGGGAAAGGTGCCCTCCCCACACCAGCGCAAGAAAATAGCCCATATCGCCAGAGACTGGGAATCAGGGTTGCAATGGGCCTGAACAAATAAATTCCACTAGTTTTATACCCCCCATATATCTCCTAGTGGCTCCCCTAGAACTTAATGCCCCTAGCCATAGCGCCTGTTTTATCATTTCTTCACAAATTTATCATTCTTTGTCTAACAAGTATAAAAGCATCTTGATTTGGCCACTTCTTCAGAATTTACTCTCTTGTGAAGATCCCCATGCACATGTAAAACGAATAAAATCTGTATGCCTTCTCTTGTTAACCAGTGTTGTGTCAATTTGGTTTCTAGATTCAGCCAAAGTGCTAACATAAGAGCTAAGGGAACAGGGTGGAGGTGATCTCTCCCTTCCCTATAAGCCGCATGTGAACAGTACAACTTTATATTATACTGCTAATTATTCCCTCATTTTTATATTTGCATATGGCTTAATTGGTGTTTTAGAAATCTGTGTTGTAGGACACTAGGCT